ACAAGATCTTCTTTTGTACAGTTTAGTCTTACTTCTTCGTTTTTTTTTAGTAATTATCAATTCTACAAACAGACAGACAGAAAAATAATCATTTTCAAAATTTTCTTTTGTTTTCAATTTCTGTATGAAATATTCGAATTGATTTTTAAAAAAGAAACATGTTTATCATCGTTACTCGTGTTTTTTCTGTATTTACAAGCGAAAAAAAAAGCTCATTTTTGTTAAAATTTTTCCATAATGTTTTGATAATTAACTAATTATAAAGGAAATTTATCATCTATTATACTTGGTAAATAAATCAATTATAGAAAAATCATATGAGAATAACTTTAAAAGTGATCAATTGATTGTATAAAAACATTTTTTATGTGCATTAACTTACGATTATGTTCACACAACGATGATTTAATAATATTTTTAAACTTATATATATTCACATACAACTTTCTCTTCCAAGTGAACATTGATATTTCATAACATACAAACGGATACAATCAAGTTCTTTTACTCTACACAATCCATTAAAATTATATAAGCATTGTACTAGTTATACAATAAAAGTATTTAATGCCTTTAGGTTATGTTCTCTACAAAAGAATTAAATTTCAATTTCAAGGATTTATTCGAGATAAATTTTTTTTTCTCTAAATATTAAAAGACAAATGACTTTTGACTTTAATTATCTACTGTTAATACAACTAAATTCATAAAATATCTTCTATATATATAGACAATCAGACAGATAGACAACAAGTAAGTCTATATACATAGTGAATTAGTCGTTTTTTATGTATATATGTGTACAATGAGCACTTGCGTGCTCATTACCTGAAGGCAAGAGAAAGTAAATGCCTATCGATAGGCGGTATATCCGTATTGAGTGTATGTCTTGCATATGTGATTTACGTCTTCATTTTTACTATTTATTCAGTTCACATATATACAAAGATTGTCGACTTCAAATTCAATAATCGTATGCACTCAACCATCCTATCTTATTCTCATTTTCGTATAATACAAGTGAGTGTATTCGTATGACGATAAAAGAATTCGAAAAGAATCTAAAGCCTTCGGGGTAATAATATTCTTTCTTTTTTTCTTTTTTATTCAATAGAAGAGAAAAAAAACCCGAACGAAAGAATAAACTAGATAATTGGTATCGATGTATATATAATACGTAACAAGAGAAATTGTTCAGTAGTTTCTAAGAATAAAAATCAATGTCATCAAAAAACAATTGTCATCATTTGTAACTCGTTGAACTATTTTAATAGCATGTTAAGTATTATGTGACACCCTCAATTCACACAAACATATTTATGTATATATGCAATCACATTTGAACATTGTGTTAAATATACTATGTTGGAATTAAGTTATGTTTTGATTTTTTTATCATCTATTATCGCACTAACATTAACTGATGATGAAAATTTATCTTTAAAATCAAATTTCTCAGAACGTAATCGTACATATATGTAAGTATTTCAAATTTCATATCTTATTTTTAATCCATATTGAAATTCATTTTTAGGTTATTTGTTTCGGAAGATGTACCTATTGGTCATACACAAATTATTGATACATTTGATTCATCATTTTGTTCAATCTATTCGATAAAATCAAATATATATAATCATGATGTACCATTTGAAATTTTATTAATGAAAAATGAAAGTTGTTCATTAAATTTACATGTTATTCGTTTACTTGATCGTGAACAAACACCAATGTTTACTATACGAAGACAATTAATTAGTGGAAATAAATTAAAAAATAATAATAATAATATGATAACCATTCAATTATCGATTGTTATTCTTGATGTTAATGATCATGTACCACAATTTGAAAATGAACATTTTAATTTTCTTATACCAGAAAATATTCAACCAGGTGGATTAATTGGTCGTGTACAAGCTTATGATCCAGATATATTTCTTAATGGAAAAATTTCTTATACATTATTTGGACAAGATCTTATAGAAATAGGTAATAAAACAATGTTTAGAATTGATAAAGATACAGGTGAATTATTTTTAATGGATTATGGTCTTGATTATGAAACAAAAAAAGAATATACACTTATGGTAGAAGCTAAAGATCATGGTGATGTTGAAGCAACTGTATGGCCATCAGTACCATCCTACGCAGATATAATTATAACAGTTGAAGATGTTAATGATCAAAAACCACAAATTATTTTTACAATGCCTAATGAAGATAAACACGATGATAGTATCAAATTTATGAATATATCAAATCCACAATTAGATCAAGGTTAGTAGAATTAATTTTTTTCTTTTGATTTTCAATGCTTTTTTAAGATATAGAATATTTTTTAATAGAAATTTCTTATATTATATTATTTGGTTAGTGAGTTATATTTCTTGATCAATCGAGAAGAAAGAAGTGCTCTTGAAAATCTACTATTTTACTCTCTTTCATACAAATTATAAGTAAATATTAGGTAAAATCAGAAGTACTATTCGTCTAGCACATAAACTATATGTGTTAAAGTTATACACTTATTCCTACGATTTTCTTTATTTAAAAAAGTGAATGACGATAAATTGAAGAATAGCAATTTTATATAGGGATTTGAAACGAATTCTGATGAATACAAAACCAGTACAATAGTTTGTATTGGGATAGTTTTAGTATAACTAACAGAATCAGAATGAATAAATAATTTTGATACTTACTCATCTACAATGTGTCTGAAATCATAAATATAAAGATTCTTACTGATAGTTCATACTTAATTTCAATCTATACGTTTCCATCTCCGAAAGTTTTATTGATATCTAATTCAAAGTTATGTCGTGGTGTTTTCATTGAAATAATAGTAAATCAAATTATACTGATGATTGGTTTATTCTCTAAATTTAATTTTAGAACAAAATCGTCTTTTAAGTTCATTTCTTTCAAAAGAAAATCTTCTTGAAAATGATGCTGAAATGATTCATTTTATAAAAGAAGAACCTTTACCAGCTGATACTCTTCTTGGTTTATTTCATTTACGTGATAATGATCAAACATCCAATGGTATTCTATCACTTGATCTGAAAACATATGTTCGATGTTCAACAGAAAGATTTCATAAAGGTAGAATATCAAATAAAAAAAATAAGCATCGAAATATTTGTCTCTATTTCAGATAATTTAACAATGTGTCGTGTATCAGATTTTTTTCGTTTATCTGTATTTCGTCCAAATGTTTATGGTTTATTTGCTGTTCGAACACTTGATCGTGATGAATATGAAAATTATATATTACATTTAATAGCAAATGATAATGGTGATCGTCCAATACGACCTGAACAAAAACGTTTAACATCACGACAAAGTTCATCATTAAATATAGAAGATTTTATTAAACGTCGTTCAGATTCAAATTCAAATTCAATAAAAACTTCATTAATATCATTACAATCCGAATTATTTATTTATTTAACACTTCTTGATATTAATGATAATGCACCTATATTTACTCAAATATATTTTCATGTTAAAATTGATGAAAATCAACCAAGAAATACCATGGTTGCTCATTTACATGCTTATGATATTGATAAAGGTAAAAATGGTAGTGTTCGTTATGAACTTATGAATAAAGAACGAGAAGAATTTTCTATTGATATTCGCTCGGGAATCTTACGAACAAAACGTGTACTTGATCGTGAACAATGTGAATTATATCGTATTGGTATACGTGCACATGATCTTGGTGTTCCAATTAAAAAATATTCATCTATTGCAATTGTTGATGTACAAATTAATAATCTTAATGATCATGTACCATATTTTATACATGATCTTTATCATTTTGATATTAAAGAAAATTTACCTGTTGGTACAATTGTTGGAAGATTAACTATTGGAGATCGAGATGAACAAGAACCAATGGAGAAAATTATTAATCTATCAACAATTGAAGATGCAGATTTAGAGTTATTTAATTTAACATTACCAATTAAAACATCAAGGTAAATAGCAAAAAAATTTCTAGACACAAAGTGCCTTCTTTAGCATGTCTACAAAGTAGCATCTATGTTTAAAAATATTAATAGCAAAAATTATTGTAACTGTAGGTTTTATCCGTTCAGTTATGAGATAAAAATTGTTTTTATTGTATTCTAATTTTGATTCATCTATTATGATATACGACTGATTTGATGTGAAAATTCATTAATCCATTTTGTTATATAAACAAACTAGACTTATGAGACTTCATTTTAATCTTTCGATTGACTTTGAAGGTTTCAAATGAAATCATACATGAAAATTGTGTTGGAAAAGAATACATTAGAAAATGATTTACCATAAGTTTTTGTATCGAATTTGAAATTGTTTTATTTTAGTACAATAAATTATTCTGCAATTGATTTTCTATTTGTTGATTCTCATCAAAATGAATCTTTATCAAATATATTTTCAATTGATTCACAAGGTTTTATTCATACATTAGTTATACTTGATCGTGAATTACAATCAAATCATACTCTATCGATATTTATGTATGATCGTGTATTAAAATCTTATTCACTTCCAACATATATTATCATACAAATACTTGATGATAATGATAATTTACCATTTGAACCATTTTTAGCAAATCCATTTGATTTATCAATCGAACAAATAAATAATGATGAAACAATTATTTATGAATTTCAACCAATTGATCTTGATGATGGACTTAACGGTATGATATCAATCGATTGTTTAAATTGTACATCGATATATTATTTTCATTTAATAATAAATAATTTAACAAATTCAACGATACTAGTAACAAAAACAAATATGACAGTACCCGATGGAATGTATACACTTGCATTTGTATTACGTGATCATGGTTTATTTATATCACGTGAACGTTTATATACATTAAAATTTAATTTAACACATCGTTTCATAACTGAAGAAATTGGAAGAGTGGAAGAAGAAGAAAATAATAATGGAGAAACAAACAATTTTCTTTTAACCACTTCTTCAATTCCATTTTTTCTTCGACAAAAGAATTTTATATTGAAACTTTTTTCTCAACAATTTGAATGGCGTTTTCTTATATTATTAATTATAAGTTGGTTGATACTTGTTGTTATTGCTATATGGACTTGTTATAATTATAATCGAATATTAAAAAGAAGACAAAAAGAAAAAGATGAACAACAACAATTTGAAATTCAAGTACGACAACATGAAATAATTAATTCGCCTATGGCAACTTTGCCTAAATCATCGTCATTTCCACCTAATTCACATTATCAACGTGGAAAAGAAACTTTAACACAAGAAGATGACGAAGTCGAAGATACAAGTTATGACGCTGATCATATTATAACTGATGCTAATTTTGTTTTAACATCTGGTTGTACAGCAAATGAAACGAATGGTCGATTTGTAAGTTTCTTTTCTTTTTTTTTTGCCGAAAGCAAATAAATTAATCAATACATCAATCAAATGTCGAAGAACGGAAGTCTAAGATCGAAAGAAAAGACCTTCAATTTTCTTTCTATTTTCCTGTTTTCATGTTCATTTAAATGGAAAATCGAGAGAAAAAAAACTATCTTTGAAGATTTATTTATATATAAATCTATATATACAAACAAATAGAATAGAATAAAAAGTATATATTGTGAAGGACAATTAGGAATTAAGTCTAGCTTTGACGTATTGTATGATTAATAGGTCGTTTGTTTGACTTGCACGTTGATGTTGTTGATGCGAATGATAATGGTAGACGAAGTTAATGATCATATAGCGGAGAAAATTACAAGTATGATGTTAGGTTATTTATTTGAGAACAAAAGGCAAGTAGGAGATAGAAGAAGACGAAGAAGAAAAAAGAGAAACGAAGAAAAAAAAAGCGGAAATTCATTGACATCTTTTCTTTTTTTTTTTATTCCTGGTACTCCTGCTGTCTCTCTGTCTTCTTTAGAAACGATAGTTGATGCTCGCTTGATTGTCTTGTTGAGTGAATAGTAGCATTCATGATGTCTTTAGTTTCTTTTTACATGCAACTTTACACACATAACGGAGTATAATTAAATGTTTAGAATCTAACAAAAGAATAGCGTGTATTTATGTATATATACGTGTAGGAAAAAAACGAGGGAAGAGGATACAAAGGCATGAAATGTTAGTTTTATGAATTGATTGTTCCAGCACCGACAGAATGAGAGAAAAACGGATGAATAGGCAGAGTTTTTGCCAGTACCGCTAAGTGGAGCCGCGCTTTTTTTCATCATTCATTTGTTTTTTTAGCTTGGAAATAGCGTTCATTTTGGTTATCTACCATCGAACAATAATCTTTCTGCTAATTTAAACTCTATTGCTATTCGAAATCATCATTCACAAGCAATCATTCGTTCAACAAATTTCTCACGACTACAAAGCTCTTGTTCTCGCTGTCAATTGTCATCATCAATGATGAATTCAAGAGAAACTATGTTAACAGATGCTGGTATATATTTATGTATTTTATTTTTTATTAGTATTTTTTTAAAGAAAGGAAAGTAATAACTTTCCATACATAATCATATTGAAGAACTGTCTATCGGCATATTGGATTAAATTTTTTTATATCATTGGCATGTGCGTGTTACATCTCTCAAGAGATTTCCTAGACGAGAGAAAAACTGACAGGCGAGAAGAAATCAGCATTATCCATCAGTAACTTGAAAGATACTTTACCACATTCACTCTATACTTACATCTCTTTTGATTATTTCAATTTTAAAAACAGAAAACATTTATTTTTTAGCAACAAATACATCTTATCATGATGATAATGAAAATGATACTGATGAAATTTGGAAACAAATGAATAATAACAATCGAATGTTATATGAAAATGCTAGTACAATTTTACATAATGATTATCAATTTGAACCAATTGATCATGATTTTCCATCAATTGATATTAGTACAATGCCATCATCAGCCATATCAACACCACATCAAGTAAATAATCCTCATGTTATCAAACGTCCTGTACCAATAAATAATTATCATTCAAATCCAGTTATTGAACGTCCAAAAAAATATCATCAACAACAATATGTTATAACAACAAAAAGAAATTCAACAATAAATCCATCCGATTTTGATTCAACAACACGTTCATATACATTACCAAGATCAATGACATCAGATCAAATTTCAAATAATAATAATAATAATAGTTCAACAAATAATAATAGACTTTATTATTATCCAAGTGTACAAGATGTACTCGATGCATTAAATCGTCGCTCATTTGATAAAGAATCATTTGTTTAGTTGTATATTTCTTAAGTTTATAAAAAACATTTACAAAAAGAAAAATATATTCGTTTGTTTTTTCTTATTTATTGATATAGATAAATTTTTATTTGATGTTTATTTTAATCGATTTTCATAGAAAAGAAATATTTCGAAGCAAAAAAAATATATTCTAATGAATTGGAATTTATTATTGTTTTTATGTATATGTCGCTGCATTTTATATAATCGTTTTCATTATATACATATAGGTAATGAGATTTGATCCGAAATGAAAAATGTGTATAGGTCCTCTGAAGATGAAATGATAAGTGTGCGCACCTATATATTTTTTTTACCCTTCAATTTTAACCATCATGAAATACATCGAGATAACATGCAAATTAAAAAAAATATTTCATCGTGTGTAAGATCAATCAATCGATAAATTTGCTTTCTCATTCCTCAGTATTTTGTTTCTCGTTTTTTTCTACGTTAGCTTTCATACATATAATAACAATATTTTAATCTTAGATATTCGAACTATTTTTGTACTTTGACCTGACATTTTCTTCAATCTTTACTACTTGTATACACGATCAACATTAACAATTGTAACCACGTATTGGTTATTTGCCATTTTTTTTCTTTCTCTTTCTTTTCTTTCTCCTAGTCTCGATAAAGATGCAAACAACATCAAGCTTCCTCGAGATGATAAGAATCATTGGACAAAAAATATTCATCGTCAACATGCTTTACATCAGTCGGTGAATGTATGGAAGAATTTAAGATCATCGTTGAATATTATCTGTTTGTTAGGTTAGGTAATCTCTTGTGAGTGTAAATATGAAAAAAATAATAAAAAGATCGAATATAGACCTATAGTATTGCATTGACATATGACGAGGCATTTTTTTTTCGTATTATCTTTGTTTCGAACGATAAAATACTGGATTTATATATTGAGAGTACACCATTCATTTTTTTTGTTCTTAACAACCTTCTAGTACACAAAAAATCCTATCCACATCATACACATATTATATAGAGAAATTACATCGCGAGAATCGTTGTTATTATTGTTCTGCTTCTGCGACCTTGAGTCCTTATAATATGTTTTTTTACGTTTGTCGAGGCATTCTCGTATTCTTTTTTTGTCTGTCACATGATAAAACCTATCCCATGTGATAAACACAAATAACGTTTTATATTTTAGATTATAAAACTACAATAATAACATGGCAGCAGCAGCATTAACAACGGCTGAAGATTACGAAGGCGATTATGACCTTGACGATGATTTTGATGATGATGAAGACGACTGTAATTTTAGGTATTTATTTTATTAATAATAAAATATCGATTTATTATTTTTTTCTATTAGTTCTGAAACTGTACTCGGCGATACAGTTGATTATTCTCATCGAAATATTTCAATCCTTGATCCAAATGAATTATTAACTTTAGTTAAAAATCCAAATCGTATAAAAAATTTTCAATTAAATTCTAATCAATTATTAACACTTCCATCTCAAATTGAACAATTTCAATCATTAGTAACAATGGAATTATCAAATAATCAATTAGTTCAACTACCAGCCGAATTATCATTATTAAAAAATTTGAAGAATTTATATTTAAAAAATAATTCACTCGATGATTTTTCTTTACCAAAAGAACTTGAATTATTAAAACAATTAGAAGTTATAAATTTAGGTGGAAATCGCCTTAAACAATTTCCTTATCAATTATTTCAAATGATAAATTTAAAAGAAGTTTATTTGGGTTCAAATCAAATAGCATTTTTGCCGGACTTATTTCAAACATTAATCAAGTAAAATCTATTGAAATATATATTCTTAATTTTTAAATATTCTTTTTCTAGAGTTGAAGTTCTTTATATGGGTGGAAATCAAATTGGTAATGTTCCAGACTCAATTGGTTACATGCGTTCATTAGTCGTTTTAAATCTAAGTGGAAATCGTTTACGGACATTGCCACGTTCAATTTCTCGTAAGAGAAAAAAATGAAAATGTACTTTTTTTTATAATAACAAATATATTTTGTTTTTAGGGTTAGGGCGTCTAAAATCGCTTTCATTGCATAATAATCAGTTTAGTGCGCTACCGCCAGATATTATACGTCTTGATTTACAAGAATTAAGTTTAAGAAATAATCCACTTGTTGTACGTTTCGTTCGAGATTTAACTTATGATGTACCAACTTTGAAAGAACTAGCTGGTAGAACAATAAAACTTCATAAAATCTGTTATGATGATCAATCAATACCAAGAAGTCTTATTGAATATTTAAATGCAGCGAAATCATGTTTAAATCCCAAATGTAAAGGTATGAAAATTTTTAATAAGATGAATTTAGAGATTAAGAATTATAAAAAACTTATTTCTTTTTTTTCTTCTTTCATCTAGGTGTTTATTTTGAAAGTTGTCATAAAAATATCAAATTTGTTGATTTTTGTGGTAAATTTTATTTACCATTACTTCAATTTCTTTGTTCACCTGCGTGTACATCAACACCAACATTTCAAATGACATCATCTGATTCTGATGATAATTCAGATGATGTACCAAATAAAGATATGTCTAGCAAATTTAAAAAGGTGCTGCTTGGTTAAAACAAAAAGATTTTTTCTCTTTCTTTCTTTCTTTTTTTGTATGTTTTGGTGAAATGAAAGTTCTTTATATATATATATATATGTATTCGGAAAAAAAAGAAAACAATCTTGTTTTTAATTTTTTTTAACCACCATGTAATGTTGAAACAAACAGAATATTATCATTTTCTTTTAATTGATAATTTAAACCATCTAATAATTCCCAATCTGTATCATTTACAAGAACTAATATTCCTGGCCGAACTGAATCACCTTGAATAAATAATTCTGGACGTTCACGAAGAAGATTTTCACGTATCCAAATAAGTAATGTTCGAATAGTCCATGATGTATTATTATCTGGTAAATCAATAGTTTGTAGTTTTTGTTTACCAAATAATAATTCTGCACCACCAGCAAATTCAAGAGTCAAATGCATATCCTGAAAAAATCGAATGTTTGTTTTCTGTTGATTTTTTTTTACTTCATCATGTATTTCAATCTTTTCTTTTTCTTAAAGTTCATGTAATAGATCTTTCTTGCAAAAAAAGAAAACAAGCCAACAACAAAAACATGACGACACGCATACACGAGAAGAAAAAAAACGATGTGTGCAATCGAATGGCGACGTTAAATAAAAAAAAAAAAAAGAAAAAGATAATCATCATGCACGCGTATAAAGGATATAAGTGAAGTGTTATAGGGACAAAGAAAAAGAAACAAAATGAAACTGTTAAGTAAGATGAAATATAATGTTAAATGGTTTAGACAATAACATAAAGAGAACACATGAATGAAAATGAGTAAGCTTGTTTCGGTGTTAAGAAAACAAACAACAACAAAAAAGAAAAACAAGAAGAAATCATGAAACAATAACAACAGCAACAGATTGCTACTGTGGTATGGTGTTAGCACAATGTGTTAGAATGAAACAAAGAAAAAACAAATAACCTCATACCCAAATATACACACACGCAAAACAGAGGGTGATGAATGATGTCTACTAAAAAGCTCACACACACGCACACACAAATAAAGGAAAAGAAGAGTGTTTCCCCCTATATAGAAAGCGAGAGGACATAAATTAGTGTAACCTAAAAAAACGAAAAACCGCGTGCATATTGATATTTGTTTTAATTATTTTCATCATTGTCTGTATTTTCATTTTGTTGTTGTTGTTGTTGCTCTAATTGAACGGATGATGATGATGATTTGTTTGATGAATATTGTCGTTTATTGTTATTATTTTCACGTGCTGTATTATTATTAAAATCATTATTTGAAGGTTTTTTAACTACTTCTTCAGCTTGTTTTGATTCATAATATTGAAAATCATCAAATATTGATGTTTTATCACGGTACAAATGCATAGTTTTTAACATTAATTTACCTTTTTCATAAGGTATTTCTTGTGTATCACGTGAATTTGTTACTGGTTTATTATCATTATTTTCCAAACGTATATTACGAAATTGTTGATTTGGTACATCTTTAACATAAATCCATTTAACTTCGAATTTACCTTGCCATTTATTTGACATTGACCAAACATCCGTTTGATGTTCATAATCAAGAGGTGACATCATTTCAGCCATACCACAAAAATGTCCGGAAGCATTAACTGAAAAGAATAAATAGATCGCTCCTTTGCCTTCACGTTCACGAAATGCAGCATCTAAACGTTTATTTCCATGTTCAGTTGAACACCAAATATTATATTTTATTGAACGATGTACATCATCTTCAGAATACTAAATAATAATAAAAAAAATTTATTCTTCAAATATAATAAAATACATTGAGATCATTTGACTTTTTCGAATCACTGACTGTTACGTAATTTAAAAAAAACGTCTGAGCTTATAACATGGTCTAACTAATACTACATATTTCTCTATTCGGACTTCAATCATGCATTCAAAAATAAAAATAACAACTATTTTATGTATGCTTGCTCTTATCTCTATTCTTTTGAATATAAACAACATAGCAAGGTGTAAAAAACTTGTTAACATTCTTTATACGAGAAAGAAGTAGAATTATGTTATTTGGTGAATTTTTATAGTCGAAAAAAAGGATATGTCATATCTCGTTATAGTTAATACATGTTTAGATAAGAAGGTCTTATTCAACAAACTTTAATAATCAGCATCATATTCATTAAGATAATTATATAGACGAATGCCTCGTTTTTGAGACATCTCAATTTTCAAATAGGTGACGCAAACACATCAAAGATATTTAATTCTTTTCATAAAATTTTGTTGAGTGTATTTTTACTTTATTTCAATTGAACTTGAAAAGAGATATAGTATGCATAAGATAACAATAGTTTACTCTCATACTCTTCATCAAAATGTTTAAGTGAACACTTGAGTAGTAAAGAAACAAAATTTTAGAAGCTTCTAACAACATAAACTCAAGACGATTTTTATCAAAACTCATATAATCCACTAATTATTACTTAAATCGTAAGTTACATGAAATTAATTCTTCATATTTCTCTCTCTCTCTCTCTCGTTTAATATTTCATTAATTTCATTATATTCTTTTTGGATATTAAAAATAATTTTACTTACGGATTTAATAACAAAAAATCTGGCTCCTTTAGGATTTAAATTAAAATCTTTTGGATTATATTGATGATTTTTTTTAAGTGCATCAAGAACTTCTTGATTAGCAGCAGATATTGGTTGTTGTCCAACGGCTGATGCTGTAGGATTACCATTACTCATATTATTTGTTGTTCGAGATGATGAATAATTTTGTTGATAATTTGAATTTTGTCGTTTATTATTATTATTATTATTACTATACGATGATGTTTGTTGTTGTGAATAGGATGAACGATCATAGTAATTTGATGAACCACTATTATAATAGTTCGATGATGTATTATTATTATTATTATTATTACCACCACCACCACCACGAGAATTCGATGATAAATTATTATTTGTCCAATTCAAAAAGCCTCCACTAGTGGATGACTGCTGCTGTTGTTGTTGTTGTTGTTGTTGTTGATTACGAGAATTATTGTATCCACTTGTACCATTACGTGTTTGTTGAGAATAATTATTCGTATTATTATGATTATTTCCTCTTACATTTGTATTCATACGTGAATTATTAGAGTCATTAGAAAAGTTTGATGTCGGATTATTACGTTCATTTGCTGACGATTGTACTGTTGAACGAACAGGTATATGAGGAACGGATGGAGTCGATTTATTGCTATTTGTATTAATAGTGTCTGATGATACGACGGATGCATATGATTTTGGACCGCTTGATGCAGATGATGAAGGTGCTTGAGATGGACGTGATGATAATGAAAGATTACTACTATTTGTTTGATAATGCTGTTGGTCTTTCGATGATGACATATTAACATTTTGTGTACTATCATTTGTTCCATTGTCATAATTATGTGTATCATCATTATTTGCACTATTTCCTAGATCAACTGCATTCATATGTTGAGCAAGCATATCACCAACACCTCCAGATGGATATTCATCATAAACTGATGGTTTTTTATTCGAAGCTGGTCCACCACCTATAGGTGTCATTTGTTGTTGAGCTGCAACTTGCATTTGTTGCATAGATAAATTATGTGGATTCCATGACATATCAAAGGCTGATGTTCCCGTTGAAGGTGGTCCAGGAAATGTTGAAGGTGTAAAAGCTGGATGATAATGCGGATAAGCATGAGGTGGAGGCGGATAATCAAATGGACTACGAGGTATATCGAGTGGTGATGGTGTATACATTTGTGGATGAAATTGCATAGTTCCAGGTGGAGGTGGTGGAACATTTCCTGATGTATCACCCGTTCCCCATTGATTATGCTCTTCAAATTGTCCAAATGGTTGATAAAGACTTGGAGGATAATAGGAATACATTTCATTTGGATTTTGTATTGGTGGGAGATTCATAAGATCAAAATGGCCTTTGAAATCAAGAAATAAATATACATATATTATAGAAATTAAAATATATTCTTACTAGTTGGATAACCATACTGCATGCTAGCAGATGTAGGGGTATTTGCTTGTGCAGAACTACGTTCGTTAATCATATTTATCTGTTAATTGTTTAGCACAAAGAAACAATCATGACTAAAATATAAAATATAAAATGAGTAATATTCTGCGTCATTTTTATAGATTTATTTTTAAAATAAAGAATCAAGAAAGAAATAAGAACACGTGATGTTTCAATGAGTATATATCAAATGATTTCAACTTTCTAATATGATTTAAATGAATATTTAATAAGAATTTCTACAGAAAATGCAAGCATTTGAAAGTTAATTATATTTCTAAGATTTTTAGTTCTTAAAAACGAGGAAATTAGTTTTTATCTTGTAAGATTTAATAAACGATTGAGTAACTAAATAAGAAATTCTAGTAAACAAGCAAACAAACAACCGAACGACGACACGAAACGAGAATAAACCAATAAAAAACTTGACTTAATTTTCTAGATTATAGAGATTCTTATCAGTTGAAATTTCATTAAAAATCTTTTCATGTATTCAATCAATTGATAAAATAAATTTAATCTGAAATTTTTATTCATTTTTCGATAAACTTTAGAAGTTGAATAATAGATGACGCCTCTTCTTAACCAATCAGAAAAAATCATCCTCAATGATGATTGTCTTCCTTCATTTTGAGCATTATCATCATCAAAACATCATTTTTAATTAAGAATGGAATATTTCGAAAAATTAAAAACTTACGGTGATCAAGTTAAAAATGTGGTTGTTAAATCAATGGTTGATACAGCTCATGGTGGACAAAAAATGTTTAAAGATGTTCTACCAGGAAATTTAGTTACACGTGAATTTGAAGTAT